CAATTCACCCGTCTCTATTTTGAAGGGACACCGTCACTGCATCCTGGGCTTAACTCTGCAGGCTGTGATTGGTTTAAAGAAATACAAACAAGTTAGAGCTTCCCCCCTCCTTCCTCGTAGCTGCACGATAACGAGCTGCAGTCATCATTCCACACAGTGCTAGAGAACAAGTCAGATCTCAAAAACTGTTAAGGAACGAGTTTGAGGACCATGATCAAGAGCCATAGGAGTTCAACACCCAAGATACCAGTCCGATCTAGCATCTACTTGAACAAGTCCGATCCACAGAGACCTCTACCCACAGAACCCAAAAGACCTGCTGCGAATGTTCTCCTGCCGAATAAACACGACACGTCTAGAAGTTGGAAGTTTTCCCTGTTTATTCCTTTTTAGTGCCGAATCATGGTCAATATAATTTGAAAAAAAGAGTATTTCATGCTAAAGTGAAAGCTGTCGTCTGGTAATTAAAATAAAAAATGAAAATATCCAAAAATAAATCTCGAGTGTGCTGAGCTTCTGTCAGTCGAGCTGCTATAATCATATATAAGGTCTAATTTATTTACATTTTATTTTGAAAAGCCATCATATTTCATAAAACCATGATTGATTCCTTCTCACATCTCTGAGCTTTTATTTTGAAAGTGTTGCATAAAAACCATAAAAGGTATCAAAACACAAATTTAGACAACGAATATTCTAAGCCTTGTGACCCGTTTAAACTTTGAATGAAGTTTCTGCTGTAAAATCTGCTAAAGAGTTCAAAGATGGCTGCTTTATAGCAGTTGTTCAGCCGACCTCCCGTTCATTTGTTCGGGGATTTTCAACGCAGTTTTTCACGAATTTTTTAAAAAAGAAAAACGCATGACGAACTGCAACCAAAAGCCAAATCACACCACTGCTGATCGAGTGTTTTTATATATAACTTGTATGGGGTTTTCTTAAAGCGACGGGACGAGTTAGGTGCTGAAAATCGTGTCAGAAGAATCTATAACAGGAATAATTAACAATAAGTGTGCTTCAGTGCTTATGCATCAGCACGCTTACTCAATAATGGCTGATGTATTCAGGTGCAGTCGTTTGGTGCTAGAAATCACACAGTTAGTCAAGCAGAGATCATCTGAGTGCAGTGACTCAAAGTAAAAAAGCACTAAAAGGGGAAAACTTACAAGAAGGCTGAATACTTTTCATAGGCACTGTAGCTCTGATTGTTATAGATTTTTTTCTTTTTTACTGTCATTGTTAAGCATCTCGAGCAGCAAAATGCATCTCAGCTGCACTGCAGAAGAAGAAATCCAAACCTCTGCACAGCTTCATCCGCTAGAAGTTATAAATGTCAGGGCAGAAACAACTGAATTAATGTCACCATTAACCCAACTCTGCGCTTATAGCTCCTTCAGTGCGGGAATAAACAATAATCTCCATTGTTTACTAGTATGAATAAAATATATGATATGGATGTTGACTGATGTTAAACCAGCATCAAACAATAAAACACAAACAGAATTATTGACTTAATACTGAGGGTGTGGTGCAGTTGGAGGGAATATTTCTCCCCGTAGTGTTTGTGTTTACAGTCTTGGAGTTATGACTCAATCACACAGCTAATTGAGGTTTGCCTTGTGTTTGCGCGAACAAAGTTTCCAAGTCAATCTGCAACTTATTCCAACAGAAAAACTTTAAAAAAGTGCTGCGTTCCACTTCAAAGATGGTCTCTTATCGTCCTGAGCAGACGCACAACGTCCTCTCTGCGTGGAGGAGAGCAGCTCTGTTTATTTCCCTACAACTTATCCATGTTTGAAACATTTCTGTCTTTAAAAAAAACACACACACAACAACAACAAAAAAACCTCTCGGCATCGCTGTTTCTGCGGAGGGGACAACAAAGTAAATGACAGCATCCATCTAGAGAGACTTAAACCCCCCTCCGCCCCCACAGTCCCCCAAGGCTTTTGCTTTTTTTTCTTGCATTGCTGCAAACCTGAATTTATGTGTGCAATTCTCTTCTTTTGTTTTTTAGTGTAAGAGACCAGATGCATCACAAAAAAGGAGGAAAGTGAGAATAAGGATGTAAAGATAGTTAAAAATCCTACAACAAAGAAGAGTTACTTCCGAGTTCCTCTGCTGTAGCGGAGGTCAGATTTTCGGTCTGCGGCGCTTGAGCTTTTGATTGCACCAAAAACAACCACAATTTGTTCAGAACGCAACTTGTTTATGCAATTTAACCGACTGAACACCAGCCTCACTGTAACATGTGAGCAGGTTAACCATCGTGTGCCTTTTAACCGAGCAACAACAGCAAACAATCAGTCCCAGATTATATCATTTGACATCTGGATTAGACGGTGTGTTTAGGTGGCTCTGCTTGATGGTTTGCAGTTGTGTTTATGACCACTTTGGTTTGACTTTACAAGCTTTTTTCCCTATGAAGACATATAGTGGGCTGCAAGGTGGCTCGGTGGTGAGCACTGTTGCCTCGCAGCTAGAAGGTTGAGGGTGAGGACCCCCGGGATCTTTCTGCGTGGAGTTTGCATGTTCTCCCCGTGCAGTGTGGGTTCTCTCCAGGTTCTCCGGCTTCCTCCCACACAGTCCAGAAACATGTTGAGGTTAATTCTAAATTGTCCGTAGGTGTGAGTGTGAGTGTGATTGGTTGTCTGTCTCTAGATAAACTGGTGACCTGTCCAGGGTGTCCCCTGCCTTCACCCTGAGTCAGCTGGGATAGACTCCAGCCCCCCACGACCCTAGTGAGGATTAAGCGGTGTATAGATTATGGATGGATATATGACTTATAGTTTATGTCTTTCTGATCAGAGGACATCAGCTGGACAGTAATTATTACAACTTCTGACACATCATGTCTGCAGCTACTTGACATTTCTTTGGAGCTCGTTTTATGTGTATTTTATTGTGAACTGTGCTTTGGTTTCGGATTCCTTTCAGCTGTGACAAACACCTGTTCCTTCTGAGTCCTTCTTCGTTGGCTAACTGTGTCTTTCCAGCCACAGGAGACTTATTCTCTCTTTGCTTCCACCATATTTCCCCCAATGAGCTCAGCGCTTGTTTAAGGAGGTGTTTTTTTTTTTTTTTTTCTTTGTCGTCTTTGAAACACTCCACGTGAAATGTGTCCCTGTAGACCCATAAAGGACACACTAAACCCTCTCCTTCTGAGGCTACCCCTTCTTTACATTTCTATTTCAAACGAGTCACTCCGACGTGTCCGCTTGGTTCATCAGTCGACTGACGGAATCAATGATTGTTCTGATTAAGTTTGAGTTGTCGTCTGCTGTCACATCACTTCGCTGGTTTCTGTGTATTAAAGGATTTTTGGCTGCTGGGCAAACAAAATAAGCAACTTTGAGACATGGATTCCAACCATTTCCAATCACTGTGACGATGTAGTTTTGATAAATGATGAATGACTGTGAGCATTGGTGGAGGAGAGATTAAGACTTAAAAGTACATTACCAGAAAAACCTGCTTATAGTATCTAAAGGAAAAGTCGTCATTCTGCTGAGAAACGGCTCCTGTGGTTGTTGTTATGAAATTATGTCTGTGCACCGGCGACAGTCTCGTCTGAGGCATCGTGTTTTCAGACTCTATCCGTCCTATTCTTGTAAATGCAGTATATCTTTCGAACTGCTTCGTGGAATTTCTTCAAATTTGGCACAAACGCACACTTGGAAAGATGAACTGATTAGATTTTGGCAATCAAATGTCACTGCGGTCTCACACAACACATTTTTGGCCGCGGCTCAGGAATTTGTGCGCTAATTACAACAAAATTGCAGTCAAATGTCTAATAGGATAAAATGAGGTGATGATGCTTTAGAGCCAGAGGGTCAACTTCACCGGGACGTCGTGTTGTTCTGCAAAAACACTTTTCTGGCTGTTAGACGATGAAATAACTCGGACAGAAACGCGGATGTAAACCGAGACTTGACTGGTTGGTGGAAGCATACTGTTGCACTAATGTTTTAAAAGGATTTTAAAGGGGGATGTCATGCAATATCTAGTTTTTGATCATTTTTTAAACATAGCTATGTGTCTTCAAACCCACAAAACATGACAGCAGACATCACCTCACTCCTTTCCTTTTTTTCAATCGATTATTAATAACACTGTGGAGCCTTAATGTATAATATAATCAGGTAAAGTTGTAATTCTCTAGAATTTTTGTAGGGTTTTAATCCCTAATATGTCAATTACTCAGGTAAAACCTCACCCTAAATCACACCACAGAGTCTTAACCTCAATATTTACGCATCACCAATCATAATCTTTTTTTTACTGGACGGCGCTTTGATGCAGCTTCTGTCGTTTCAAATCTACAAGAAATTCAATCTTGTTTATATCGCATGTCTGAGATCTTATTTGCTTGAATTTGTTTTCATGCTTCATCTAATTTGACATTTGTTTTATGTAAAGCACTTTGTAACTTTGTTTTTTTTTCCCCGAAAGGATCTCTCCAAATAAAGTTGTTTTTCTTCCTCTCCACAGATCAGAAAGCATCTCTGTGAAGAATCTGTTCCGCTTTGCAGCCTGTCGGTCGTGCTCGTCCTCCAGCAGCAGCAGCAGCTCAGTCGGATTTAAAGGTACAGAAACAGCTGTTTAAAAAATTACTGTAAAAGGTGTAATCTGTGCTGTGTTTTAAACTGAAACTTGAAATATCCATTCTAGGGATAAGTGAGACTTAATTTAACTTGTTAAAAAAAGGGAACAATATGGGACCTTTAATGTTGTAGCTGCTGGAAGTGACTTTGTGACTACATGGTGATGGATCATTTATTGTGTATAAACCTTCTGTTAGTGTCAGAAAGTGACTGAGATCAAGCAAAATTCTGAGGAATCTTTCATTTTATGTTCGTTTTGACATTTTTGGAGGAATTGGCTTCAGTTAGGCCACTTGTTTGCTTCATTTATTCACCCAAAATACAACAAACTAGTAAAATATACGTATTATCTTTATAAATAAAGGAGCTACCCAGCAGCATATACATTATTATTACCAGATGCAACACACATACAAATGCACCCACAGTTGTAATCCGATTACATAATTAAAATGATCCTGAAATGGGTCATTGTGCACAATAAGTATTTTTTTGGAGTATGTTTTGATGCCAGTTTGTGTACTTCTAGTCCGTGGAGTTCCTATTTGGACTTGAGTAAAGATATCAGTGCTTCCTTCACGACTAATTTATCTAATACGTGCAAAATGTGCAACGTAATCAGTCACTGTAAAAAAAATTAAAGTGCCACATTTTCCTTTGAAATGTGGATTAAATGGAAGCACTTCAGTACCTCAGAATCACACTTGGAGTCAATGTGCTGAGGCCACTCCTGCTGCTGCTTAATGTCACTCCTGCTCTTATGTAATTGAACAACGCTGACAGTCAACTGAAATAATCATGAGTCCAGCGTGAATCGTGAACATAATGAGCCAGCTTTGCGTCGCGGCTGACGGGGTTCGTTCCCTCCCAAGACGAGCAGGCGAGCGGCAGGTGTCAGCAGAACACGCCCTGAGCTCCGAGCAGGTATCCAGACGCTGTTTGCAGCTCGCCGCCGCCGCCGCCGAAGCTGCACCTCGGTCGGTCTGAGAGTCTCGCTGTGAGCTCCAGTATTACGGCTCAAGTCCTCTTGGTGACGCTCTGCTGACATCACTGTGATATTCCCCCGCTCCGCTCTCCGCAGCACACACTCGCAGCTCCGCCGGCTCTCTCTCCACACTGTCCGTCCAACACTTTCTTCCCCATTTTCGCTCCGCTCGCCGTGGCCAGGACGCACCATCACGCAGCAGCAGCACCAGCCGCGGGCTACCTGTGCGCACTGCGGCCGCTCCACGCTGGGAGGGGTTTCACTCTTCCTGTCATTAACAGATTTAAAGGAAGAGAAACTAAACGCGGTTTCCACGTTGGAGACGAGGGGGACACGCAGAGAGAGAAACAAGCTGCAACTTGGCTGATTTTAAGCCCAGGCGGTCTGAACTGAGCTCGAAGTTTCTTTGGCTGATCGGAGAAGGAATAATTTGGAGCCCGGCTGCAGCACACCGCGCTGTTGTGGATATTTACGTCCACCTTGTCTCCTGTTTAGAAGAATGGCGAGAGATTACGCAGCGCGCTGCCCGGTCTCTCCGGTGAGGAACACTTGGCTGGTGGCGGCAGCGACCCTCCTCTTTGCTCAAGGTAAGACGACACGAGCCGAGCTGCTGATTAACAATGAAACCTCTCTCAGATTTCCGCCTCTTGCAGCCCCGCACCGCCCTGAACGTGGCCACTCTCCAGCCGCGCAGCGCCGCGCACTGCGAGCGCTGCTTGGGTCACGTCTCCGGCGTCCTCTCCGGCTGTCGTTCTGTTTGGACTTACGACCTGTTGTAAAACTTTTATTGTCCGAGCTTTGTGCCAGATCTGTGTGCGTTGACTTTCGGTGAGCCAGCGAGGTGTGGCTCTCCTGGTTTTGTGGTTTTTGTCCTAATTCCGCGCAGCTTCAGTCGGCAGGTGACTGTTCGGGAAGCCTAATCCTCCCTGAGCCTCTACAAACCCTTCCTGCACGGCTGACCTGTAATCTGTGTTTACCTGTTGGAAAGTGCCGCAGGGAAATGAGGCGCAATCACCGGGGCCGCTGTGATTACTGCCCATTAGAGTAATAGTGCAAACTGGTGCTCGTAGTGCAGAGCAACAGGGTGGTGATGGGAAAACGCGATCTCAGCAGGAAAATGAGCAGCGCTCGGCCCCTGCGGTTCAGGTGGCCCTTCAGCATCCAACATTAGGTTGTCAAGAGCCCTTAATGAACACCCATTACTGTAATTGTGTGATAAAATAGATAAGTTGGTGAATCATGGCGGTGGAGTAAAAAATCTCAGCCTTCCTACAGCATGCATTCATCCATTTACACTGTATTTAAGGGGATATCGATGCATTTAATGAAGCTTATGGAGTCTGAGACCAAAGATGTTATGTATAGAAACAAATACCATCAGGCATTTAATTTGTGTGTGCAAAAAAATTACATATTTCTAAAAAAAATACCCAGAATTTTAAAGAGGACTGCCCTATTTTATGACAGCATTACTTAACATAACAGCAACATGTAGCCAATTTTAAAGCTACATCAGGAAAAATAAGGGTTAAAATAACTTTTAATTCAGTTGCTGTACATCCATCTGTCTGCCAGTGGGCACTGATGCAGGTGCATCTGCGATAACTCAGCATCGACTGATACTGTCAGGCTGCTGATATCAGTTCAGGTCTACTGTAAGCTACTGTTAAGTGATGCAAGCACAATGCAAGACACTGTATGACTCACAATACCACCTGAGGAGATGGAAAACACCACTTTTCCCATCAGAGTTGCTTATTTTCCAGCGGCACAGAATGCACAATGAATGTACACAGAATCCCTGATGCAGGCCACGGACTGTATCGCAGCTCTATTGATGTGTCACAGCAGGTTTCTGATAGATAAGCACATGTGTGTTGAAAATACCACGCATGCAGAGAAATACAGCAATTGGACCGTGTGTTAAACTGAAAACAGTTTTCAATAACCTCGAGTAAGGCAGCAGCTCTCCGTGTCCCTGTATGACCATCCCACTGACAGATAACCACAATCACAAACTCTGATAACATCACTGTGATGCACCGTTGAGCAACACAGATGTGCTCTGATTCCCAACAGAAACAGTTCTCTGAGGTTTTTTTTTCTTCTCTCCTCCCCTCAACCAGGACCAGCTACAAAATGTCTAACAGCAGGCAGTCGGTCCATAGTGATCGGCATAAGAATCTGTTAGCCCGTTCTGTCAGCGTGAATCTGTCAGCCTGTTGTTTTCACCTGGGTGTAACTAGTATCATCTGTCAGAGCTGTCCCCAAATTGTCACTAAGGAAAAAGAAGATGGGTCATTATGGAGCCGGGAGATATGTCATCTCGTGCGCTGATGCACCTTGGAGACATGCCTCGGAGATCAAAGCGAATGGAAGGGCGAGTTATTTAAAGTCTTGCGAGCCAAAGAGCTCCCGCTTTGTATTTCATCGTAGCAGCTGTTGCATAATAGGCGACAATGTGGACTCCGGTTTTCTTACCGAGCGTGCGAGGCAGGAGGAAGATCTCACTCTTATTAGAATTAGCTTGGTGATGACAGGCTGCAGGAACAGAGGAGCAGGGAAACCCTCCCTCCTTCAGTTCAAGAAGGAGGGCCGTGGTGCTGGAAGCAGCTCAGGTTGGTGTGAGGATGACAGATACTCAGCTGAGACTCGGCTACGTCGGGCCTTGTATTGTTAAAAAGCTGTCAGGACTGCATCCCCACAGGTTATGAATTAATCCAAACAACACAACTGTCTGTGCACACGCTCCCGTTGCAGCTACTTAACTAGCAATGCTTAATGCGAACACAGGTGGCATGTTTCTGTGCATCTATGTGGCAAACTCTCCACCAAAAAGGGGGTCGACAGCCTTCACTGTTTGTCAAAAGAACCTCGTTCACCTTCACCAAAACGGGCAAAGTGGAGTCGAGAGGATATCATTCTGCAGCAATGATAATTAAGTCACTTCAGGTGCCCCCCCCCCCCCCCCCCACTCCGCACCCTCCCCTGCTCGTCCCTATAGGCCCGATCCTGTACTGAAATGTCAATGATGATGAGTCCCCTCGACGGCTCGGTGGAGACGAAGGGCTGATTAGCTTATCACTTGGAGAGCAGGCGGCCGATGATTATCGCCCTCCGAGCAGCGCGGCCTGATTATCGAGAGCTCTTATTAATGACTCATCGTCTGCTTTGCATCGCTACCATGTTGTTGTTTGCTCTTTGCATATTTGGATAGCCGGTGCTGCAGAGCAAGTCCCTGGCCTCTAACTTTGTACACGTTTTATAGCAGGAATATCCGTAGATGCATTTCTTGCTGGACGTGTTCTATACAAGTATCTCGATATATCTGGACAGCCTCGCTTGACCCGCTGCCGCCGTGACCTGACTCAGCATCAGTGTCAGAGAATTGATGGATGGGAAGGCAGCAAAGTTTAACTGCTGTAATTAAAATTCATAAACAACTGATAAACGAGCAAGAGTTCAAGACATTCATCTGTGAGCCGCCCAGTACAGCCAATTGTTCCACGCTGGCCTTTGGGCTATGAGCAGTTACTTTAATTTTTTTCTTTTTGCAGGATATTTCAGCTGATTAACTATTGGAACAAGCCTCGAGGCTGAAAATGTCCCATTATATCCAAAGGAAAGGGCAGTTTGAATATAAATGCCTGTAATTCCGTCAGCTTACCAAACAGATTCTTCTCACTTTGCATAAAAGCTATACGAACCCGGTGCAGACCCTTGACCCCCGTGGGTTAAAGATGATTTGTAGCCTCCGAATCTTTGTCGCCGCTCCATTGTTGGCTGACGGCAGACAGACTAAATGTCAAGGAGCACGTCTGGGGAGAAGAGATCTTGTGTGCGGCTTTTGGAGAGGGTTGAGGTTGCCATTGTTGCCTTGAGAGCTGATCACAGGTGTCTTTAGCTGGGTTGAAATGTCAGTGAGAGCGAGAAGCAGCCGGATGCTTCAAAGGGACCTGTTTGGAGGGTCTCAGTGATTTAGTTGTTTACTTGTTTATGAGAAACTTTATATTCATACGACACTTTCTGTAACAGTTAGGGCGCTTTATGCACATAAAACGAATGTCCCAGATGAGCATAATGCTGGAACTGAAACAAAAGTGAGACCCGTTGCATTATAAAAACAAGCTGCTGTTATGTTTAGACCAAGAACGAGCAGCTTTTAGTTCTGAGGGAACATTATTGGGTCAGCGAGGTATCATGAGCCAGGTCACGAAGGTGCACGACGGAGAAGGTTCTGTCAAGTTTGGGATTTAAATCAGCTGCAAGAAGTGTCTCCCTTTGACTAGTTGTTCTGTTGATCCTTTGAGTGATTCAGATTCTCAGCTGAGTTTATGTCTGCAAACTCGTTGAGCTGTATATCAACAATCCCACTAAATGAAGCCGTGCAGTTTCAGTAGCAAACTGTTGGGGACCGGCTTGCATTCGGTAGATAATGCAGAAAATGCACGATTTAATGCTTGGGCCTGATTTTGCTGCAATGTCTGCTGCAGCTAATAGGACAGATGGTATTTATCACAGAGATTATTCAATCAGCAACATTCATTTCGCTTTGATTTGGCTAAAAACGAGAAGGATTTTCATGTAGCCTTCGATATTGGACGGCGTCCGTCCTAAATGCACTTCTTGAGTGTTTAAAGTTTAAAATTGAACAGCTCCAATGTGCAGCTGTCATTAAGACTCACTAATTAGTAAAATGCATAATGTACAGTTTTCGACCAGCATTCCTCTCTGGCATTATTTCCATGAACACTGCTGCTTTGTACCGTAACAGTTTGGAGAAGCTGTCATGCTATTGGTTCATTTTCTGTGGAAGAAGAGACTTTAACGTGATCGCAGTCCGATGAAGAAAAACCTCGTTAACAAATAAAGTTGATAATCACTGTTGTTTATGTGTAATTGTGGGTTTAGGTTTTGTCGAGCCAGCTAATGTAAAGAAAGCCCGACTATGTTGAACTTAGTTTGCAGTGAACTCCTCTGGAGCTGTTTTGAAGGCAAACGATCGTCACACCAAACAGTCAATCATGGTTTTTTTCAGTTCTCTGTCATTTTAGTCTGACTCACCGGATGTGCAGGTATAAACCTGCCATGGGTAGATAATCTCAGTCAGCAATCTCCCTCTCTTCTGCTATCAGCGTTTGCTTCATCACTAGAACAACAACCTGCTGCACTGACGGTGAAAGTAAAAGCTCTGCAGAGCGTTTAGACCGTGCAGTCCGGGAGCTTGTTTTTGGTGTTGAATTATCTGTTTACGATCCATGACAACAATTCCCGCTATCACTTCTTTGAGGAAACATCCTTTGCTTAGTCCCACCCATGGTGACTGTGATTGGTTTAGAGAAATTCAAACAAGCCTGTGTTTTGTTTTTTTTCCACTATAGCAGAATGATATGTGGTGCAGCCAGACCAGTGTGTTCTACAAACTGGTCTAAGCGAGACTACTGAGCCATCTGACAACTAAAAACTATTATTTTGCTCAGATTTTGACAGAAAGCATCCTTGTTTTGCTAACTTTGGGAGTTGGGGTTTTAGGTTTTGTTGAGCCAGCTAACACAAAGAAAGCCAGACTCCGTGGTGCCCCCTCTGA